TTACAGGCCATCCTGGTTTCTTTCCTTTTTATTATTTTTTTTCATGGTCCAAAAAGTGACACCCGATACGGTTTATAAGGTCATCTTCAACCTTTATCGCTACTCACGCAGACTTTACTCTACTTTAGATAGAGTTAAATATTCATCTACAGTCGTTATCTCTACATTTTACTCTACATCAAATATTTATCTTTTTATTCATTTTTTTTCAAATAAATTGATATATATATATATATATATATGTTGTTTTAGAATAAATTGGTATTCATTTTAGAATAAAAAATTTATCTTTAATTACGTTGTTTTTATTTGTGTATCTTGTGATTTATGTGTGTTGAAAACTTTTGATTTTAATATTATGTTGTTTTTATTTGTGTATTTTATGATTTACGTTTGTTGTAAACTTTTAGTTTTAATGAGATCTACTTGTTGGAATGTGTTGATTTTTATTCATATGGTACTATTTTAATATTAAAAAAATATAAAATAAAATTATAATACATTATTTAACATAAAAAATACATTGCACAAAGTTATTTAGCATAAAAATACATTTATTAATACACATTATACAAAAAATTATCATTAATACTAAATTAAAAAATATATATATATATATATATATATATGTAGCGCTGCTATAGTGTTGCGCCGAATGTGGCACAACACTTTAGCTTTCTCCAAAATAGCGCTAATTTGTGGCGCAGCACTGGAGAGGGATTTTCGCTATAATAGAGTAGAGATGGGCTCGTTGGCGCAGCATTGCGGAAGCTCCATGTATTCATATAATTTAATTTGAGGGGAATATACAAAATTTTATTGAAGGGGACAATATAATTTTCAATGATATCTTACATTTAAATTAATTAGAAAAAAAAAAGTAAAATTGTTCCAAATTTTGTACAAACCAAAAATTTGGTATGTTCAATCGGCCATTTCCTTTCTTCATCAAGTTTGCCTAGTCAATGCATGGATGTTACATTCTATGTAGACTATATGTTTATATATAGAATCACATAATAGAAAGTCAAATTCACAAATTTCCTTTCCCATAAGGAAATGATACATTGTTAACTTAATGTACGATTAGGTTGCAACACAAGTAAAAATATTAATTTTATGTATTTTTCTAATAGATGTTTTCATTCGAGTTGTCAACATAGATGTATGTTCGAAAAATATTTTTACTATCCGCAAGTGTACGGTGTAGCTATAGCAAGCGGCGAGCAATGTCGTATTTTACATTGCAAATTAAATATCAAAATGTAGACGATTAAATATTATTTAGACTAGTATAAATTTGGGTGGAGATTTAATTTTAAACTAATGAATGATTGCAAAATAATTTCTAACACTAATGAAAACTTGTTCTAAATAAATCAAGATTGAGAAAATAGATTTTAGGCTAAGTTTTACTTGAGATGATTCTAACAAAGATCAGAATGGTATAGTAACTGACTTTAGGCGTTACTGTAGGTATATATTATCTTTTAGATAAAGACACGATTAATTGTATCAATAATGTTCCCCTATTCGCGGTGGGCACATGCGTGGCATGCATACATTGGTGATGTTAATATGTTCAAAAAGTACGTTATTTATGTGTGCATGCCACATAAGCAGTAGCTATATTGACATGTGTTCACTGTAGATAAGGGAACATTGCTGTTAATTGTATGTGTATGGTAGTTTTGCTGTATTTTCCTAATCACGTAGAAGAGAAAAAAAATTCTAGTGTTAAACGGGGGACCCACCATTCCAAGCCAATGACCCTATCATAAAGGCAGGTCCTCGAAATTGGGCCAAAATTAAAAAATTAGACCCTAAGATCACATGCATCTAAACCAGCCTGTGGCTAGTAATTGGGTTGGAGGATGGGCCCAAACCCGTCTAGCTCCGTGGACCTAAACCAATGGCTGAGATTTGGAAAATGTGTTTCACAAAAATAAAATATAATAATAAATAATAAATAAAAATACGGGTTTAACAAGCCAGTTGAGAGTGACACGACCTGTAACACTTATCTTTATCAAAGACCTCAAAAACGTGGCATCCAATTGAATGCAGGTGCATCTTCTTTCCTCATTATTGTACCTGGGCCCACGATTCCCACGCGCCTGGCCGACGGCGAACGCGCCGCTGCTGCTACGGCGGTGTTTGTTTGGTTAGGGCTTTGAAGAGCTGGGCCCCTGGGGCTCGCAGTCGTAGGGCTGCCACCTATGCTGTCTACTTTTATCGTCCATGGCGCAGGGCGTGGTGGACCATGGGCTACGAGATAGCTAGGCCCACTTAGAGAGTCCCACGTGGCTTTACCTTTCCGTTGAAATTGAATGACTTTCTTCCTGCAGGATATTTTTGTTTCCACAAAATGGATATGTATATTATTCACAGGACTTTCAAGTCCCAAGTAGACACGCCAAGGGTCAACCCGGCCCGGTGACCCAGCATGGATTTATCGGTTTT